ATTATAGAAAATATAGAAAAAAAAAAACCAACAAAAACAGACCTTCCCACAGCTCAACCAAGACAGGACTCATTACATAGAAACAAATCAATCATGCTAATTCAAAGAAATGATCTGCCCCCAAGGTATTCCTTCTTTATTTAGGGGTGGTCACTGCTTGTCCCTGACAGCAGTGTAAAGGAGAGAGGCAGCTGGAAAAGACAAGTGTTGAGAGCTGCCTGTGTGCCCCTAATCCAACAAATACAAAAATATATTCCTGAATTGCGGAAAAAAAAAGTTTTATTTTTGTGTTCTTAGCAAAACAGACACGGATGTGCTCATGGATGGACCAGGCAGTGGGCAGAATTGGTCCTGGCACTGATTTGTTACTAAGTTTGTTGCATAGATTATAGCCAGATTCCAAAAGAAAGTTCTAGATGTCTTCACCCTGACACCAAAAGAAAATATGCTTTCTTCACCTGAGCCCAATGCTGCAGTACTGAACATGTGGTAAGTTTGGATGCAAGGGGACAATAGAAGCAACAGAAAGAGTCCTCAGGCAGTAAACTCCCTGCAGACAGCAGAGAGCTCTCTAACTTGCAAAAGGAGACTAAAGAATAAATAAAGCACAGCAAGAGACAAAGCCCACAAGTAAGGCATGTTGCACATCTCTCTTGGTGTGAAGCCTTGGAGATTTCCAGCTTCAGAAACAGTGGTCACAAGCTGAGCCAGCACACACAGGGCCTTCACTCTCTCCCCCATGGGCTCAGAAACCTCCCCAGGTTCCCGACAGGGCACAGAGCACTGCCTTCATCTGACTCCAGAGACAGCTCCAAACCTCTCTGGGCACACCTTCCCACTAAGTAAACTCCTCATAAGGCTTCTTATAGCTACACCCCATTCCCAGTGTCTCTCCGCAGCAAGGAGTCAAGTCAACAAGACAAGGCACACTTCTCTTTGGTTCAAATTAACCAGATGTTGGATCTCACACCTAGGTTACAACACAGGGATGCAGACACAAGACAGGGACAGAACACGACAGATCTGGGCCTACCTCTGGAACATAAACACATTGGGTGGGACAGATAGACACAGAAGTATTGTTTGCAACAACACTACCAGGGCACACAACTTTTCAGTAGGAAGGAACTAACTAGGCATACATTCAAAAACAGACATGGATGAAATGCTGAGCCCGATGGAGTCAACCAAGTGACAGTGTCAGTGGCAACAGCATTTCATTGTGGTTAGAAAGCCTTCAGCCTATGTCACTGACATGTATTTACCTCCACCTGCAAAAGCAGCAGAAAATACTCAGCGACTGTTTGTGATCCAGATCTTTCATTTGCAATCTCAGCTGAGCCAAAGCAATACAATTTGTTAGTTCTATCTTAGTCTCATTAATTAGATTAGTTTCTTCTTCAGAGAAAAAAAAAGTCAACACTAGCTCTGGGAAAACACAAGGGGACATTTAACACCAGAACAAGAAGAGTGGCAAACCCTCCCTTGTTGATGTGATAATTACAGAAATGAATTAGGAGTACTGTGCATCTAAATCTTCACGTACGTGAAGCTAGATGCAGATTCTGGGATGACACGAAGAATCACCCCAACTCTTAATGAAGGCTCTGCTCATACAGATTGACCCTTCTGGATTGGTAGTGCTCAGTACCCCTGCAGCACTGTGCTGTGGGTTGCCCTTCCAGAGCCTCAAACATCCTGCTGCCTGAGCCAGCTGTCTGCATGCGTACCACAGTGCATCACCAAACGTGAAACATTGCAGTTGGCAGCAGTTGAAAGAGAAAAGTAAATCTGTCTCTAAACCCAAGCAGAAAACCTGGCTGTATCCCACACACAGGAAGTATTTGTCTGTCTCACTTCTGAGCTTTTGTCTTCCAAAACCAAGAGATGCACCACACATTTAAATCAGAACACTGCCACCTGCAGAGGAAAAGGTAGGAAAAACTGAAGAGGAAGCATTCAAGGCCAGGCTGGATGTGGCTCTGGGCAGTTTGGTCTGATGGTTAGCGACTCTGCACATAGAAGGGGGCTGAAATTAGATGAGCACAGTGCTCCTTTTCAGCCCAGGCCATTGGGTGATGCTACGTACCTTTCAGGAGGAGCACTGTCAGTGTTGCTGCTGTGCCGTCTCTGCATTTTCCTCAACACCTTGAAACACAGCACACTCAACATCAACGCTGCCAGTCAGCGATTCCAGCGTGACTAACAGAGATCCACTGAGCCAGAGAGCTGGGAAACCTCTTCAGCTGGTGACATGGCTGGTGTAAACCACCTGCTTCTCCGCAAGAGAGGCCCGCAGTTGTTTCTCAGTACACTTGTGAAGAAACAGCTTTCAGATGGCAAATGAGAGCACATGCAAACAGGTCTCCATGTTGGGCAGGAATGAGGCAGACCCCCTTCTGCAGCACAGTGCAGCTCCCCAGGGTGTGCAGCTGTACGGTGACATGGCCCTACATCCCGCAGGGCAGCTCCAGCTGTGAGGTGGAGCAGTGTGTGCTCTCTGCAGCCTTCCTCCTCTTCTGAAGAAACTTGCAGAGCAATAAAGAGCAAAACTGAGGGGGAATAAAGAAGATGTATAAGCATTTTAAATGACAAAGTACAATCAAGGCTTGACGACGTTCTTTTAAATAGGCAGCCCATCCCTTTTAGGCCACAGATTGCCATCAGCAAACCCTGTGCAATGGTCAGAAATAATATCCATGAGTGCAACAGGAAACTGAGATACATGCAGCCCCGTATCTGTAGATCAACACAGGTACACTGTGTTGAATTTGTGAAAGGATGAGAAGGAAAGTAACACACAGTCTTCCCACCAAGCAGGCTGAGCTGGGACAATATGGGATTTGAGTCACAAAGGACAGAAAACATCAGGGTTTTAACATGGGATGCCAACTTTTGGACACTGCTTTTAGTGCTTGTGGTGGCAATGGTGATGAGGAGACGGTTGGACCAGATGATATTACAGGTCGTTTCCAACCTTGTGATTCTATGATTTCTGGAAGTAAAAGAGTGAGCCAGTCCACATATCCCATTTTATAATCTTCAATACATATGCTATTGTTCACTTCTAGGTATTCATAGAAATACACACACATACATAAAATACACACAAGAAAACAATCAGCTATAGCAGGAAGAATGTAACTTGCAACAAATGCTATGGAAAAGACACAGGCAGCCGTCAGGAGCACCAGAAATGTAACTCTAATCAAAGCCTTCTGATAACCTAAATTACCAACACTCCCTTAAGTTCCCTTTTAACCTGAACAACAATTGACATGTGATGAAACGGCCAAGGTCCCAGGCCAACCACGCATACAGTGCTCTCCCACCACTGAGCAACTCTAGGTTCACTGCTTGTAATGAAACCTGGAGAATCCCCAGTTCCTTCCCAAACCATGACAAGTCTCCCGGATTGCAATAGCAGGGTGAGAACAGCATTTTAAACGACATGCAGCTTTATGGGGAAATAACTTTCTTTTAGCATCAGCTATAAAGGGGACGGTGGCACAAATGTTAGGTATTGAAGACATGAGGCTCCAAGAGATATAACCTATTCTATGGATAAGGTCAGGTACCATGTAGTTGGATGTTATCCTGGGCAGTGTGGTTGACATGCCTGAGGGATGGGATGCCAAACAGAGAGACCTGGGCAGGCTGAGCAGCAGGCCCAGGAGAACCTCATGAAGTTCAGCAAAGCCAAGTGTGACTTGTGCATCTGGAATGTGGCAACCCCTGCTGTCAGGACAAGCTGAGGGATGTTAAGGATGGAGCACAGTCCTGCTAGAAATGACCTGGGGGTACTGGTGGACGGCAGCTGGGCTTGAGCCAGCACTGTGCTCTCACAGCTCAGAAAGCCAACTGTATCCTGGGCTGCATACAGAGCAGCATGATCAGCAGGGCGAGGGAGGGGATCTGCCCCTCTGCTGTGTGCTGTGAGACCTCAGCTGCAGTGCTGCAGCCAGATGGGGAGTGATCAGTGCAGGAGAGACACAGAGCTGTTGGAGCACGGCCAGAGGAGGGCCCAGGGATGGAACACTGAGCTATGAGGACAGGCTGAGAGCTGGGGCTGTGAGCCTGGGAGGGCTGAGAGCTGGGGCTGAGCAGGGAGAGCTGCGAGAGGCCTTCAGTACTGAAAGGGGAGCTATGAGAAAGTAGGGACAGACTCTTTAGGGTCTGCTGTGACAGGACAAGGGGAAACAGTGTCAAACAAAAAGAGGAAGACTTAAGCAGGATACAAGGAAAAAGTTTTTTATGCTATGGGCCTGTGCTATGCCATGGGTCTGGTATTAAACGGAAAGACTGGCGGCCCTGCATGTGGCAGAGGGTTGGAGATTCATCATTCTTGAGGTCCCTTCCAACCCCGGCCATTCTGTGATTGTGTGATGGGCGGTGAGGCACTGCACAGGGTGCCTGGAGCGGCGGTGCTGCCCCAACCCTGCAGACACCCGAGGTCAGGGGACGGGGCTGCGAGCACTGAGGAGCTGCGGGCGTCCACGAGCACCGCAGGGGGGAGGACGAGATGGCCTTGAAGGGTCCCTTCCCATTCAAACGACGCTATGATTCCATTCTTCCATCCCAAAAGACGCTCAGCTCTGACACCCGCTCTTTCCGGGTTACTTTTCACCTTCCAGCAGCAGCCGGAGGTCTCACGGAGGTTCCCGCATCCTACGCCACGGAACAGCGGCACACAACGAGCAGCTCCTGGGCCGCGCCGGGAGCACAAAGCCGCACCAATCGCCCAGCTAAGGACGCATCCACACGGACGCTCCGGCTCGCAGACACCCACCAACGCACCAACTCCCCCCCCGCACCGTGGAACCCTTCCTTTCTCTTCCTCCCCCCCCGGCCGGACGCCCCGTACTCACCGTGCCGCCCCGCACCGCCCCCAGCCCGGCCGCTCCCCCTCCTTGCACGCACATCCGCGGTCCCGCCCCCCCCCCGCCCCGCAGCCGGCGGAAGCGCTCGGCCGCGATCCCCGAGAGCGGCGCCGCCGCGGGAGGAGATGGCGATAGAGATGGCGGGCTGAGCCGCCATGGTGCCGTGCGGAGCCGTGCTGTGGCGGCGGCTGCTGAGGAAGCGCTGGGTCCTCGGCGTCGTCTTCGGGCTGTCCCTCGTGTATTTCCTCAGCAGCACCTTCAAGCAGGTCGGGGCTGGAGGAGGACGTGTGTTGGGGGGGGTGGGGAAGAGCCGGTTTGTCTGGTTGCGCTGATGTCTCTCCTTGTAGGAAGAACGGACGGTGAGAGACCGGAACCTCCTTCAGGTGCAGGAGCACGAGCAGCCCATCCTATGGAAGGAGCAGTTCAGCTCGGGGAACGGCAGCCACCTGAGCAACCAGTGCCGGAATTCCGTGCAGGGGAAGCTGTTCATCACGGACGAGCTGGGTACGCTCGGTGCCGAATGCTTTGTAGCCTGTTTGAGTGCTCCCAGCGCCTGGTAACAAGGGCTCCTCATGGGGCCTCGCCTGTCGCTGTTTCCGTGGTTATATTAATGTGATGGGCGCAGCACCTGTGTGTGTGTGGCTGTGTGCTGTTTGCAGGGCTGCCTTGCATCCAACAAACGCCAGCTGCCCTCACGCAGCACCTAAACATGCAGTGCTGAACGCAGGCTGGGTGCTTGCAGGGCTATTTGCATCCCCTGCAGTGCGTTCCTGTGGTCAGGCGTTAGCAGGAGTAATCAAGGAAACCTGATTGGCACAATTAGTGCTCAGCCGCAGCTAACGAGCTCATCTAACACTTGTAAACCCTGGGATATTTCTGTTGCAGGTTCTCAAATTAACTCCAGGTGTTCAGTGGGTGAAGCCTTTCCTGCCATGGCACGTGCCTCAAGTTGCTCCAGTGCTGGGCTGTTGTTGGCCAGCAACGAAAGGCTGTATAAAAATAATGCTAATAAAAAACAGCACATCTTTTGTGCATCAATATTAAATGTAGCACTGCTGAGTTAATGCTCTCTGCTGATTCACCGAGCTCTCTAGAATCACTGGTGCCTTTCACAGTCTAGCAGGGGTGGTACAGCTTCCATAAGGATGCATGCTGTGGTTATAGGCTATTGAGGGCTCCTGTAAGCAGTGAGCATCACAGCCACTTTGTTTACAGGAATCTAAGTCCCTTCTTCAAGATGAACTGTAAAGAGAGTTACCCAGATTCAGACCAGGTAAAGGAACATCTGTCAGTTTTGTTCCAATATAATCACTATGGTTACCCTTCCAGTGACAGCAATAAAGTATGCCAATAAGATATAACGTAAATATTATGCACATCAGGAATGGTGCTCTGTATACTGTATTAATGAGGTACATAGTAGTGTGCAGACAGCACCGAGCTGTTGTACAGCTCAGCTCTATGTTCAAGTACCATTTAAAATAATTGCTATGTAGGACTTCAGTCAAATTGAGGAGGATCACAATAAAACAAATCTGTCAAGCAATGCATTTCTTCCTATAGCATTTCCATAGGACGTACATAGAGCGTGTTCTCATAGAACAAGTCTTCTCATTTCTTTTTATATTTTTTTTTTTCTTTTTTTTTCAGGCTACATCTGTGAGAGGAAGGACTTGCTGGTCAATGGCTGTTGTAATGTCAACGTGCCCAGCACCAAGCTGTACAGCTGTGACAGCTGCCTTCCCAACGGCTGCTGCAGTGTGTATGAGTACTGTGTGTCCTGCTGCCTGCAGCCCAACAAGGTGCACAGACTTTCTTTTGCTTCTCAGCTGTGGCTAAAAGCTCTTGCTTGTCAGGAGCCTTTTCCTGAGAGGGGATGGTTCCTGCTCCATGAAGGGTGAGAGAAGCCTGTGGCAAGCTATAAGTAAAAGCTTAACAAAAATAAACCAAAAAAATCCATCCTTTCCCTCTTGGAGAGAAAGTAGTGGGAGCTCTGCAGCAGTTGAAGGGAAGCGACTGTAGAAAAGCCAGTCAGTACAAGAGCTGCCCTGTATTCTGCTGGCCAAGCAGAGAAAAGAGCTCCTCTGGATTCTCTTTCTCCTGCTGGGGTGTCATGATGTTAACTTTGAGGTGCTTGCTAGCAAGCAGCCCTGCTTGGAAGCTGTATTCCTCTGAGATTTGAACTGCGTAGGTTATGGTGGGTTTTGAGTACTTTATTGAAATAAGGTCTTTTTTTGATTGCCACTATTATTTTCTTGCTGACCACTGTAGCAACATCTTCTGGAACGTTTCTTGAACCGGGCAGCTATGGCTTTCCAAAACCTCTTCATGGCAGTGGAAGATCGTTTTGAGCTGTGTCTGGCGAAATGTAGGACTTCATCACAGGTAAGGCACAGGATGTGTAATATCTGAAAAGTACCCGTGGTCCTACGATTCGTTGGTCTGTTGTGCTTACAAAACGCTGTGCATTGGAGGCGTTGTGCAAATGGAATACTGAACAGAGCAATAGGGATGAATTGTTACTAGTTATGATTCAATGTAAAAATGCTGTAACGTAGAAACTGTATTTATACACGTTGGGAGCACGGTGATATTTGACTACGGAAGGTACTGTACTCTGTGGAAGAGTTTGGGAAGTTTTTGCATGCTTGTACTCTGGGTTTTAACCCTCAGTGAAGGGGTATGTTGTTACAGTACGTGTGAACTGTTTAAGTCTCTTCTTCTGTTCCCAACAGAGTGTGCAGCATGAGAACACCTATAGAGATCCAATTGCAAAGTACTGCTATGGAGAATATCCCCCCGAGCTGCTGCCTGTGTGAAAGCTGCATGATTTGAGCAGCAAGGTGAAGGAACTGGAGACCGGAATCCAAAAGAGCAAGACAACAGCTGCTGCTTTACAAGAGCCTCAGTGTAAATGGTTTACAGTATTGTCAGTGGCCAACCTGGAGGTGTACGGAGTAAGCAAGAGACTCGAGTTCTGTGGAATTGAATCTTGCTTTCTTCAGCTGATACTGTGCACCTGCTTTGGGGCACTAGAAGGGGCGTTCTTTGAATTGTTCTTCTACAGTAGCTTGTTTTTTAGGATGCATGGAGTGGATCTAGCCTATAAAATATCATAGAAAAAGAGTCTGATGTAGCTTTGCAGCTGTACCTGTAGGCTCAGTGGTCCCTGCAGTCCAGAGACTTCCCAGAATGGCAGTAATAATGACAGAACCTTTGCTTGTAGGGAGTAAAGCGTGCCTGTTGTTTCTCTGGAGTGCTACCCTGATGTGCATGGTGTACACTACATCTGTAATTATGAATTATTTATTCAGTTTATATGGATTTCCAGCTGGAAGCATTGATGCTTTGCATAACTGGTTGTTGATGTCTTTCAGCCTGTTTCTTTGTATCGTGTAAAAAGGATATTTTACATCCTTACTAAAATTGGTTGGTGTTTTTCCCTCCTTAGTCTAAAGGATTTGTATTGGCTTTATGGCTATAGTGCTTATGTTCCCCTTAGTGAGTTTAAAGCATTTGAAACTCCAATGGAGTTGTTATCTGTCAAAGTCCCCTAGCATGAGAGAAGAGCAGAGGTCTCCCTGTGATGGGACCTTTACTGTCTGTAAGTGCTCCCCTTAGTTCTCTGCAGCAGTTTGCTTGAAGAGGAGCATAAGCCTTGCAAACAGCTCTTTGCCTGTCCACTTGCTGACAGGAAACAAAGAAGATTTATTTGCTTGAATTTGTTCAGGAGTCAGTAATTCAATTGTGCTTCACTTCTGGTTGTGCAGGAGGCAGAAGGGTGGAGTTCTTCCAGGATCCTTGCCTAATGACATCCTTGTTCATGAAGTAAATGTGCTAGAATGTTAGAATATGGTGCAGGCCCTTCTCTGAGGGCAGCTGTGTTGCATGAGCTCAGTTAAACCATCAGGGTGTTTTGCTTTGCTGTTTGACATGCTGCTCCCAAATTTCAGCCTGATCAGAATGGCAGTAGAACTGAGTTGGTTCTCCCAGTTTTCTACAGTTGACTCCTTAAGTGAGGCTGCTCAGCACAGAGGAGATGGGTAGAGAATGTGTAAGATACTGACTAAATCTGTTCTTTCCCTACATGTCACTATGTGAAGGCTAAGCACCAGACAAAACTGGGCTGTATTTTGCTATGCAAAGCCTCATTTCCCCTGTTTTTACCCCAGCCATCTCTGTGCAGCGAGGCCACTTCAGTGATTCTGACTTTGCATATGCATGTTTAAACTGTTGCTTCCTATTCCCAGTCTAAAGGAGATCTTTACAGAATCTACAGAGGAATCTACAGAGACTTTATTAAAAAACAAGCACGGTGGTGGAGTGTCCTTGTGCAAAAGATATCTGTACAATGCTACAGCAAGATATCCTGTGTTTCCAATTAAAATTCTCTGTGATATAAACAAGTAGTGTTACCAACCACCTGATAAAATCCACTTGCATTGTTTTCATTGTTCTTTCCCAGAACTCATCAAGTGAGACATTGATTCCGTCAGCAGATTTTCTTGAAAGTCTTGTTTCTCCCAAGGCTGCAGCGTGAGCAGTTTATCCGGATGGAAACAACTCCCCTTTGCTGCCATCCCATGGCAAGTCGCTGCAGCAAGCATGATGCAGGGTGAAGGTGCAATATGAAATGCTGTCTTAAGAGGGTAGCAGAGGTTACTCGCGTCTCTTTTCAGTGTTAAACAGATTCTTCACCTCCCTTCCACACTTCATAAGTGAAGGCCATGGGGTTGGTCTTGTTATATCATTCCTACTGGGATGTGTTCCCACGTGTCACATCGCTGCGCAAAGATCGAGGTACTGATGGCTTACCCTGGATTTCTTTTCCAGCTTGGTATTTATTCTGCTGGTGATATCTCTGCCTTGAAGCAGTAACTGTGAGAAATCATAAGAACCAACTGAATGTGGATGGCTTTAGTGGGAGTTCCTGCTCCCTCTCTGAGGGATGTTCAGCAGTGTGTTGTAACCACTGCCCATTCGCTGGGGCAGAGAGTGCATCTTCCTTCCCTGGTTGTTAAGTGCTGTGTGCTAAATCATTAAAAATGTATGTGTTCCAAAATGCTGCTTCTTCTCGTGTCTTTCCTTGATCTACAACAGAACTAGATTTGTCATTTATAATAATGTTAATACCAGTGAGAAATGCCAGCAATATGAGGAACAGGTATGATATTTGGCTATCCCAATTTGGAAAGAGAAACTTATAGCATAGGGTGAAGTAGTAATCACTACAGCTGCTTTAGCTGAACTTGAGTCTTGGGCCTTGAAACCACATGCTGTGCTGCTCCGTGATGGTGGTGGTAGGAGGACTGGATGAAGAATTCTTCACATGGTGGACCAGAGTTCTGGTTTGAGGCCTGTACAAAACTTCTGATGAGTTGGGGGTCATGGTTTCTACACTTGCAATCTCACTCACAGTTGCAGTTTGTCACTTGAGCTCCTTTCAGTGCTGGGGCTCTAATCGCTGAGAGGAATTTCAGGCAAACTAAGCGAGGATTTGTGGATTGTCAGTTCTGAATATAAAGCAAATCCTCAACACCAGTCTTACTTCTGACATGCTTTCAAAAGTGCTTTTCTGACTGTCATCGGCATTTTGCTGGACAAGCTTGAGGTTTAGGATTTGTTCTGTCTTGTGCTAGTCACTTAAACTGCAAACAGACTGGTTCCTTTAGCTTAACTCCTTAGTGGGGTGTTTGTTCTTTCGTTATTCCAGTCTAGAAGAGGTGGGGGAGGAAACAAAAACAATTCTCTAACTCAGCAGGTCAACAAAAATGGAGTACAGCAAGTTACTGGTGCTTTAATTAAAGTCCTCTCCGTTGTTCTTCAACCTGGGGCAAACAACTACATGCAGAATAGGGAAAAATGCCAACTTCAGAACCTGCAGGGAGTGACGTGAGTACACAGCTGTTCATTTTTTGATCAACATCTGATTAAAAAGACATTTCTAACTAATATTTTCAAAGAAATCTGACTTGGGACAATATGTGTGTTATCTACACGATGATTTCTGTTTTTGAGGCAATCAGGTTACTAGAGATTTTCCTTAATAGATCATTGTTCTTAGTAGTTTAGAAATACAGGTCTTAGTCCAGAATTCTCAGCATGCCTTCAGATTGAGGTACGTTTGTTGCTGTGACCTGCTGCTTCACCTTGCAGTAATTGGACAGATCAGTATGATGGGAAAAGGGGCTTCACCAGAGGTGTAACAACAGAAGGATGATAGAAGGGTGCTATAAAAGAAGGAAAGAAGGTTGCTCACCTGTATCAGAAGATTCCAGGTTCACAGAGGAGAGCTTCACTATGGAGGAACCTTCAGAAAGAGATCCTTCCCCAGGGGCAGCCAGCCCTTCAGTGAGGCCTAAGAGAGGTGCAGCCAGGCTCCATCCCTTCCTATCACACAGCTGAACTGCCTTCACCTGTGCTCCCAGGGCTGACCGGCTCCTTTCCCCAGGTGCTCCATCAGTGCTGCAGGCTGGGACTCAGCAGTTCCCATACACACCTATGGTGTAACACAAAGTCACAGAACAGAGAAAATTAAAAAACTATTCCAGCTGAGAAGCTTGTCTTGTAGAAACTCTTCTAGTATGTACTTCAGTTAAGAGAATAGAATACAAATTATAGCTGCAAAAGAACTGGAGGCAGCAGTTGGTTCACCTGTAGTTTTCCATGGGCGAGATTACAGTTAATCTGTCTCTGTTGTTAATGGTTGAACTCAGGGATGGCAAATGATTTCTTGTCAGTTTAACAAAGCTTCCAATAAAATGCAGCTCACATTTATCCAGTGTGTTCTCTGTCTCTCTGAATGCACCTTCAGAGTGGGAATCAAGGTGAATGCAGATCAGACACCAACTATTTATGTTCTGTTCCTGCCCTGCACAGAATCTGTTCCTTGGAGCCAGAAGACAACTCCACTGAGGTAGTTTGGATTGCTTCTAATCATGGCTTCACAAGAAGCATCTCATGTGCCTTTTGGTATGAGTAGAATGGCTTGAGTTGGAAAGAACTTCAACTAGCACCTGTTTCCAGCTGCTGCCAGGGCAGGGCTGCCTAACACTGCAGCAGGCACCAGCTCAGGCTGCCCAGAGCCTCATCCATGGCCTTGGGCACCTCCAGGATGGAGCACTCACAGCTCTGTGGGCAGACTGGGCCAGTGCCTCACTGCCCACAGTGAACATTTCCCTGACATCTAATCTACATCTCCCCTCTTTAAGCTTTAAACCATTCTCCCTTGTCCTATCACTACCTACCTGTGTAAAAAGTTGATTTTTCTCCTGCTTTAAGCTCCCTTTAAGGATTGGAAACAGTAATGCTGTCGTCCGTGTGTGTAGGAAGTGACAATGGGGAGAAGTGGATGAAGATAGGCTGAGCACCTGACTTGGAGCCAATGTGACATCCGAGGCTGTAGGCATGTGCATCCATTGGCTTTGTGACACCGGTGGGGCAGCACGCCCATCAGTCCCAGCTACTGGAGGTCTCACGGAGATGAGAATCAACAGCGCTCCAACGGACATCAACACCGACGTGCTGCTTTATCTCAGCAGGAGATTTGCTTACTTGGAGGCTTCCTTGGTCTGACTGCCTGCTGTGGTGTTTTGGTTAAAACAAGGCTCCCATATTCTAAGATGGAAGGAACGGGAACATCGAACCATCCCCCCCCCACCCCTCTGCTTTCCTCCTCTCTTTCCCACCTGCTCCTCTTTCTGCTCTTTGTCCCACTGTTACTCTAAACTCACTTTCATTTTTCTGCTCTGGTTCCTCTTGATTTTTTTTCCCTCAGGCAGGCCCTTACATCTTCTTTCCCTCCCCCTGCTTTGCTTTGGGTCCACCTCACTGAAGGTTGAAACAGAACACAGGAATCTTCACTCCTAGAGGAAATGTTCCTTTTCCTAGTAAGCAAAGGTATTACAGTACTATCCCTGCTTTTGAGGCAATAGAGTATCTCTATTCTGATCCTTCCTTTTCAATTTCTCTTCACCCCTCTTTGATCAGGCAATAGCTGTTGCTCCCAGTTTTCTCAGCCTGCCTTTGCTTTGAGTATTTATGCAAAATTTCATGGCATCACGGTTGCAGTATGTGTTAAAGGGCACCTTGACACCTAACCAGAGTTCTGGTAGAGAAATGTGGAGCTCTTCCATGCTGTCATGTGGGATGGGAAGCAGAGCAGGAGCATTGCTGCTTCTCCCATGCTTCCCCTAAGAACTCAAATCTGGGTCCCATTGAGCAAATACGTCTCTGATGTATGGGTTTGTATGTGGTTAAACCACATGGCTCAAAAATGGCACCAGCATCAGTTATGTCAGAATGAACCCAGATGAGCTGCACTGTGGGCCTCCCTCCCTCTGTGTGGAAGCCCAGCCCTATGCTGAAGAGTAATGCCACAAAAAGAAATACATACATAGGACAATTGTAAGTTCAAGCTGGGCTTTAACTGCATCACGTGTATTCCTGTTGGTGAAAGATTTGCAGTTGGAAGTGAGATGAATCAGTGATGCCTCCCTGGAGGCATTCAAGGCCAGGCTGAATGTGGCTCTGGGCAGCCTGGTCTGGTGGTTGGCGACCCTGCACATAGCAGGGGGTTGGAACTGGATGATCATTGTGGTCCTTTTCAACCCAGGCTATCATTTTCAACCATTCTATCATTCTGTGATATGATTCTATGATGCACAAAGACCAGCACAGCGTTAAACCCAGATGTTCCGTGGTTGCAAGGGAGGTCCATTTCTCACACCATGATGAGCTTAAAAATAAGTGAGAGGCTGTGGCTGTTTATTGTCTGGAGGTGAGTACTGAAGTCACAGTGCTTCAAGTTCCTCTTTACAACTGTAGGGGTCTCATTTTTCCTTTCCTGTGTGAGAGCTGAGGTTTCTGTGTGTCTGCTTTCCTGCAACAAATGAGACTTGTGAGTTGGCAACAAGGAAAACCCTGTTATCTGCAGTGTGAATACAGCAAAAATCCAACTGCGCCCTGTAGGAGCATGATTTTTTTCTGTGCAGCAAATAGAAAGTCCTTTGTGGTTTTGGGTTTGGCTTTTTTGGGGGCAGGCAGCAATACAAGTAATAGCTATGGAGGACCTGTTAAGGAACTGTAATTGTTAGGAAATCCTGAGTCCTACGACACAAAGAATAGTGGGGAGCTGCTGCAATTGTTTGGAATGCCATAAGTGCTGTAAGCTGGGTACAGATGCAGAGCTTTGGATCTCCTTGGGCTTCTCCTTAGGTAGTTTCCATAGGTAAGTTTCCATAGTAGTTTCCATTGGGTAGTTTCCATAGAAAAGCTGATATACTTTGTCCTTAAACCAGGATTTGCAGTGGAAACACTGCCACAGAACAGGCCATTAAAGCAAATCAAGGCATCTATCTGTGAGGCTCAGTGAAACATTGTGTGATGTGGCACTGTATGCAGTTGTCATGGCCCTGCCACATCAAGGTTAGAATGGGAAGGCGAGTGGCTGGCACTCGCTCCATCAAACAGAGATGTTGGTTTTGCAGGTAGCCCAGGCAGGGTGAGGCCTGCATGCTCTGTTGCTTCTAACAACCAGATAATTAATATGCTTCCAGAATTCCTGCTTCTCGCAGTGTCTCTGTCAAGGGAAAGTGAGGTGTAGTTAATTCAGGTCTGCTCAACACAGATGTATTGATCAGGGCCCTCCTTCCCGTGGCCGGATGTCTGCCATTGCAGTGCATCAAACCGGGATGGCAAAAACAAGGGCATGTTGCCTCAAAGCTGGAAGTGATGATGCTGTACAGGGCAGCTTCAGTGCCGAGCCTCAGCAGCTCCAGAGCAATTCTGCTCCAGCCTTCAGAGGGTCAGGAAGACACTAAAATCAAGTGAAAAGGGCGCATCTTGTGCATGTCATTGCAAATACACTGCGTGAGTAGCTATAAGGTTAAAACCATGGGTTCCATGTGAGCAGCTTGTGCTGGATCACAGGATTTCAGGCAAAAAATGGGCAAAACAAGACCTGTTCATGGCATGTGGGAGAAGTTACATGGGGCTGCTTGCAGAGGTACTGAAGGTTGCAAGAATTAGATGGAGCGGACGCTTCCTCCTTTTCTACTAGCA